ACATGATACATTCCTTGGCCTATCCGACCAGGTTTGGTTTTGTGTCATGTGATTCTGATCATCCGAAAGGTAAACCTTTCAAGAGGAGTGATGACTGTCAAAATTCTCAATCAAAACCTTGAGAAGGTTTTGAGATTTCAGTACACGTGTTGCTTTTGGTATGAATGAATGACTGACTCCATTCTGGCCTTAAAGACAATACAATACGCCTAGAATTCGCTAGAAGTATACTGCAGCATTACCGAACTCAGTAGTCGTGAAGCTGATATGATGCTTTTGGGTTGGGGTTCGTGCCTTTTAGACAAAAGCTTACGCGACTGAAGATAGAGTGGAGTGAACGGATGATAATCATAATTATACAGGACATTGTACGTCATTTGTTTTGAATTATGAGGTTTTTCTCTAAGGATAACAAGTAGGATGCTTTCAGGCGACAATTCAAACAATCATACCAAAAACGAAATGTTAGTCTTTATTGTAGAAAAAAATCATCATAGGGGCTTAAATCATCGGTTAAAACATGGTTGTCAAACAACAATTAAGAAAAATGGGAAATGAACAGAAAAACTCATCAAACCATTAAACTGGGGCACGGGTTATCTTTGTTATCTGATATTTTAGTTTCACAGGAGCACAGTAATTGGCGAAGTTTCTGTCATCGGACTTATTTAGTCTTGCATGCCATTCAAAGAATGTTGTATGTCCAACGTTCAAAAAGAATATTCCATTTTGAAAAACAATAATCTAGCACCCTCCTTGCACCCACCATCCCATCCCTCATCCCCACCCCAACCCCTACAAGCACAAACACACAATAACCCCGTGCAGTTTTCCTTTATTCGATAAGAAAGGGGAACATTTTTTTTTAACTCGACAATTTGATGGTGATAAAGAAATATGTCAATCCAAGAATATACAGGTTCTCTGAGGATTGCTCGAAATGATGCTGCCAAGACGAAATTCATTACCGAAGCTCTGTATTTTCCGGGCGATTAAACACGTACACCCACAGTCAGGTTTAGGCAGAAATGTGTTTTGATTGCCATGGTAATTATTCCAGTTACTGGTTAATTGGATCATTAAGTTTGCCACTGCTCTCGCCTCGTCCCGGTCAGGGTAACAGTCCTAGAGTGTAATTTCCTTTTGTACTCCAGGAGACTGAGAGGTGCCACTCATTTCGGATTTGTTTGTCTTCCTTTTGGTCGAACGTCTTTTTATCCTGGGGGTAAAAAAGGGAGCTCAAGGAGAAAACACCAAAGCGTGTAGGAATAATAATAAAGACGAAGGCGTGTTGAGACAAACCCAGCCAGTGCGTATAGCTACTCCTTACGTATGGTTTCATTCGGAGTAAGAGCACATCCAAACGCTGCAGGGCATAACTCGAGGGCTTGGTGGTGGTGGTGGTCTGAGTTGGGTGGCAGATTTTGGTAATACGTGGTTTGGGGTCTCCCTTCAGCGTTTGTATAGTCTTTCTTTCTTTCTTTTGAGGCGGGATTTTCGGTTTTAGAATTGGATAATGTATCCGGGACTGCGGGGATGCCATGGGCTAACGATACGGGCACTGGTTGATCGTGGACGCGGGGGGGGGGGGGGAGCATTCTGCGTGATGGCGGTTGACTGCTGTGGCGTGCGCTACAAGTGTACGTTGAAGTTGGACTTGAGAGAAAATCGATTTCAATGAAACGAAGCCAAGACGCAAACCTGGAATAGTTCAACGTTGGAGACTTCGTACAGGTTTCGTGGTTTCACAGCGACCAAATTCTGAATTTGTCAGAGATATTGAAAGTCGGCTGACAGAAGAGCAAACTAGAATCAGCAAAATAACAATATAAATCTATTTGGGATTTTTGATACGGGCAGTTCAGGGAACTACTGAGGTACTCTGAAGACCAATGACCTACAGGCGTGCGTGCCGCTGGCAACCACCCTACAGTCCGCCGGACACAATTGTTCCCGCCCGGTTTGGCAAGTCAGTCCCGTTCCTGGTCAGAGAATGTCCTGTACTTTTCGCCTGATCAATCCTTCCCTTTGTGGAGTTTTTTATTCGAGAATCTTTCTTTCGTTTTGAGTTTTGCTTTCAAAGCCAAGGTCATTGTCACTGGGAATTCTATTGAATTATTCAGCGATTCGTGATTTATGATTGGTGGTGTCCGCAGAAAGCCAACCGATTAGGGCCTCGGGGGTTAGTCAACAATGTTCACGGTCCATCAATCATAGTACTTGTAGTCGGGTGAAGCACCCGGAGTGACGCTTGAAGTGAAAGAGGGGGCGCTTGAAGTGAAGTCAAGGTCATAAAAATAATGACAGGGAAAAATAACTTTGGGTTATTGCAGTTATGCCAACAATACAACACCCCTCTCTTCAGTAACCAAAAAGATTACGAAAATCATTCAGAAAAGCACGGTACATTTCCTTCCAAACCCCCTCTGGGTAGCTCAACCCCCACCCCACCCCTCCTGATCCAAACTTGGATCCGCCCCTGCACATAGATTTGATATCACATTCTCATTTTGATACAGACGTCAGAAAGAAGATTCTCCTAAATTTAGCTCCCTCGTTTCATGACCTTGAGGGTAATCAAGGCTGACAAGAGATATTGGATTTAGGAAGTCAAGTATGTATTACTTTTCACTTTGTCTTTTCCATGGTCGAACTATAGGCTCACCAAATGAAATGTTTGTTAATAACATTCTGCTTTCCCATTTTAAAAGACGTTACAACTCTTCAATGTAACCATGGAAATTCTGTTCAACGACGTTCAAGTAAAAATAAAAAAGTCACTCACTTTTTATTCAAACTATTAATTTGGTAGACGCAACTGATTACAATAATTAGCAGTCGATGATCTCGCCCCTGGAAATAATTCTCTGATTTTTTTCCCCAAATGTTTTCCTTGTGTTCCATTCCCCCATTTTCTCATTTCCGCTCACTCCGTACCGTTGTTGTTATTTCATTTTAGCGTGCGTGAACGTGCACTCCACGGATTTTTTCGGGGGGAGAGGTGGGGGTGCAAGTCTTCCACGGCTAGTCCACAGCAAAACACCGAGAAGCCAGAAGAAGTCAAGCGAAACAGACGGCCGGTGGTTGGCGAGGCAAGCCCGCTGTATCCATCCCGTAGGCCTATACGACTCCCCACACGTGCGGCTTCCGCGCCCTCGGGCCCGATAAAAAAAAAATCAGAACTGCTGTTGGGGGCAACACCACGGACAAGGCAGAAAAACAACACGATTTGCCAGATTTACTGTGGATATGATCAAAAGAAACATACGTCCATATAGGGAACGTCTACGGTGACGCAGGGTTGCAAAAAAATCCGGTGTTTGGACTTGAAAGTACGCCTAACATTTGGTCGTTATTGATTGTTAAGTACGTAAAGGGTTGGGAACTCAACGCATCAAAATGGCACCGCGCCCGTCCTTTATGGGTCAAATGTATTTATATTCTATCAAAGGGACTTGACTTTTTGATGGAAGACACGGAAGTCTTTGAAACTAGGTCGACTACGAAGAAATTTGAAAACGTATCAAGATATCCATTTCATTCATACAATTATTTTTTACAATTTAAGGAAACAGACTGAACCAAATGCTACTGGTATAATCGTTCAAAAATGTACTGTGAAAAAAAAGTATGGAGGTAACATAGGGCCTAAATGCGTAAAAAAAATAGATGTGTGCGTGTGGTTTTTTTTATATTATTATTACGTTTGGTGGTAAGTGGATTCAAAAGCTGTAACCAGTTAAGCGACAATAGGCCCTATTGGTTATTTATTCATTAATCGTTTTGTTTCTGAGAGCTGTGTTGCCAGTGAGGTCAAACATTTACAATCTGATCTGTTTACACCACTCATTAACACTAAACCGATTAAACAATTATACCTGCGATCACTTTCTGGAGGAACCGCGAGCAGCGATAACAAATTTATGATTTATAGGGTTTTTGATTCTAAGACAAGACCCGGAATCCGATTAAATTATCTTACATCTTTGACTTTGTTACGTATCCAGCGGTGGGAGGGGCAAGGGGGCAACTAGCACCCTCACGGACACCATTTCTATCATTTTTTGGAATCGAAATACTTATAGGTAACTCCTCCCGCGTTGGAAGAATATTGTACCTTTCCACCACCCCCCCCCCACCCCCACAAAAAATGGGGGGACACTGGGACGGGAATTGTACATCTTCATTAGCATTTGCAGACAAATAATTTCATGTTTCTACTACACAGGAGACAAACAGTGGACTAATCCGTGTCCTATTTGCAAGGGGCACTTGGGTTCTTTTTTCTGAAGGGGGGGGGGGGGGGGCAACCCATGCGTTTTAACAAGAAAAGGTCATTTTCGCCTTTCTATGTGAGAGAGGTGGAACCATCGGAGTGTGAGGGGGGTGCCCCATGCCTCCCATTTTATTTAGGCGTATGCCACTAGAATCAAAATGTATACAGCCGGCTATTAGCGATTTCAGTTTATTTTTAGCTATGTGCCGCTCTGGATAGACACGAGAGAGTATAAAACAATCAGCAACCGTGCCGAAACCTAACGGAGTTTGATGTACATTCCGCTTATACGAGTCAATGCCTTTCAAACACAGAAGACAGCGGTCCGTATAAGATGATCGAACAGTCAGCCGAGCTCAGCGACTTTCCTCCCCGTCCAAGCGTCTACCTTGGCTGGCTCAGGCCGGGCGTCGGCCGACGGCAGTTGATCAAAATTCATACAGACATATGAGCGAAGATTAGCTTTGTTAATCCGCCATGCGCTAATAGCGATGAATAAAAGTCATATTAGCACATACAATGAGCGCACAATGTGCGGACTTGTGGCACTGGCCGCAGACAATTGGCTCGCCAACGCCAGGGCCTTGTCGTATTTTTCTTCCCCCCTGAAAATGGACAACGCCGAGGGTTGCTTCTCATGCATTATTAACGCCTTGTGCAATATGAACGCTGAAGGGACAACTCCGTACATTTCCTTGCATCACCGAGTTCATTTGTTGCTTTTAATGCCCGAACACAATCGGATTTAAGGAGCTGCCCTCGGACTTGATACGAACGGGAGCGAGGACTCGCGCGCAGCCCGGGCGTAAGACCAACGTGATTGGTGGAAGAAGTGCGCGTGGGCGGGAACGCAGTCTGCAGTGATTGGAGCACAGAAACCTCTATGACGACACTGTTATTTCAATGATTTCTGTAGAATTTCGAGATACGTAAATAAGACTGTAAGAAGCCTGGTCGGGGCAAGAGTTGAGGGCTTGACATTTTTCAGCTGCCGAGAAAGTTATTTTGCTTGCACGCGAGTCACCTGCTCGTATGCATAGACCCATTCCTTTGGGCTTTTGAAATGTTCACAACTTGTTCAATACTTTCTTTAGAAAATGGAACAGATTTAATCTAATCTAGTTTTAATATAATCGGAAAGCAGTCCTCACTAAAGCGTAACGAATTCTTGACGCGGGAACATTCCTAGTCCGTCAAAAGGACAACTAGTGGACTTAGTTTACCTATTTTACTTAAAACATTAGTGTTCCCAAATTAGATAATTTCTTCATCAAGACTATGGCATTACCACATTTGAGCAGCGATCCAAGCGAAGTGTGTCTCTCCCCGGCATCCTTGGATGACGACTCATACTCAAGTGACGAGTCATGCGACGATCTCCCGGACTCTCCTGTCTCCCAAGACAGTGACCAGCCCTCCTCGGGACCCAATGGGTCACAGAGCGGAGTCCGGACAAGACGGCGTGGGAGCGGGAAAGACAGTTCCGAACACCCGGGGAAGAAGCACCTCCGTCCCCCGACCCAGCAGAAGGAGAAGGAGCCCCATCTTGTGCAGCGACGCAACGCCAGGGAGCGACGACGGGTGCAGCTCGTCAACGATGGCTTCGTGCGACTTCGCAGAAAAATCCCAACGGAGCCGAGAAATAAGAAACTGTCCAAGGTGAAGACGCTTCGCTCGGCCATCAATTACATCATGCACCTGCAGGAGACCCTGAATGAGGCAGCGAATCGACAGACAAGGATGGAGGAGATGGAGACAGTTGGCATGACGGTTGCAATGGCACATCAGGCACAGCCTCTCTACAACGAGTGGCAACAGTACGACGTACAAACCATGGTAAGAAACTACTACAATTTCCATGTCAACTCCCTGTGCCGCCACTTAAGGTATATAGCAACATTGGCTTTTCGTGCATCTGTTTTCGTTCGAACCAACAAAATTGCTTACAATCTTAAGAAGGGTGTTTCACAACTAACTTATTGAAGTTTTGAGAAAACCGAGAAAACGTATGTACTTCAATGACTGTTTTCTTCCCAAATATACCATTTCGGGCGGAATAATTCACATCAGGGTATTTGGTACTAATCCCATCTTCACATAAATCAACAAAGCTAAAACCGTACTTTCTCGACATCTATAATGAAGCACAGGTGCGCGCGTGCTGTATGCAATTTTCGCAATAATAATAATGATAACACTTGAGTCTTATATAGCGCACGTATATCTACCAACAATTAGGTACTCAAGGCGATGGTAATTATGTCTTTTTGTAAAGACATGAAATGAAGTTGATGAGAAATGTGAGACCCATTATGTAACACCTTTTGTATAAAGGGTGTACATGTACAAGGTGCTGTGGCGCATATTGCAGCCACTGCCAGAAACACCGGGGACCCCTTCTCTTAGTGATAAGTGTTACTGGGTTCTTTAAGTGCATTAAACAACACACGGGATCTACGGCTTTACGTCCCATCCGAAGGACGAAGCAATAATGGTAAAGTGCCTTGCCCAAGAGCACAGGCACCACGTCCCCCTTCAGGATTCGAACCCAAGTACCAGGGCATACGGGTCGAACACCGTAACCACTGGACCACAGCACCCCACTAATACCCGTACTACTGACGGCTACAACTCTAATGTTACATTAATTTGAACCCGCAGATCTAGGCTACTTACACTTTTTCTTTCAAAAAACAAAACCACACACGCACACAAATTATCGCTCCCCGGTCCTGTCGGGTGTTTCACCTTGCTGTGCAATGGTGCAACAATGTGATTGAGGCGTTCACATTAAATTAAAATTTCAGCAAGTAAAATTTCAACTTGCAGGAAGAAGTTCTTCATTATAATGAAAGGGTAAATATTTTGTGCAAGATAAAACTCGTTTTATTATTTTTATAGCGATTCGAATCAACGTACGCCCGTAAGCTAAATGAAAAGTTACTTACCTATCTGTAAAGTGCGCCAGAAGTATTAGCTACCTTATTTTACGTCACTATGTTTCTCTTTTTAGGGCTGTGAAAGAGAAGACAAAAGCAAATGCATTTATTAGTCATTTCAAAAGTACATGTATTTTACTAAAATTACACTGAATGACAAACTAGCCATAAAGAACATTACTTACGCGTGACGTTCGACACTAGAGGGCGCTTGACATCACCCCTCAATAATCCCTCGTTGCAGGAAGATCCCCAACATTTAAGTAACATTTTAAAAAAAAAACTAGTGAACATCTTTTGTTCACTTGTTTTGATCATTTGGTGAAGTTTCCATGAAGACTTGTTTATGGCCCTTTTCAGCATTTTAAAATATATTTTAGCAATTTCTCTATCGCGAGAGACATCTATAAACACATTTTGTTCATTGCAGCCAAAATGCCTATATGTGTATATTAATTTGTCATTAAAAGCGCTTTAAATTCCAAAATATTCCTCCAAACTGCCATGAGAAGAAAAGTCGCGCCTTGAAGATACATTTTAAGCGATGTGGGCTTAACCAATTATTCACCAATTATATAAAAGCACTTCAAACTTCGAATACTGTTTGAAGAAAAAGGCAGATCCCAAAAGTCAAAACCACACACAATTTACATAATAAAAACAAATTTGGTCAAAAATTTAAGAGAATATATTGCAGTATTGGTTGCAGTAGAATTACGTCATGGAATTGCATGGCGCTGATCTGTATACAATGACATATAAGGCGAGCACTGAACAGAGATTTCAAGATTTCTAGCTACAAAACTCAGCAATGACGAATGAAGATTGACTGGCAAACACACACTAACTGATCCTAACATTATAATTATGTAAACACACAAGGCTATAAGACTAACCAACAGACAGACCGTTTCACAGACTGATCACATATCTCCTCGGAGAACTCTTTGCCGTAGATCGTCGCAACGCCACCCGCCCTCCTAAACTGAAGCGAATCAATTTCGACTGTTGGTTTACCACACAGCTGATAAGCTTTTCTTTTTACCAGAGCCACAAGCAATTGGTGTTTTCAGCTCCCGTTTTTTTTTTATCGCGCGGCGCGTGGCCGGCTACCGTGGCCCGCTCCCAGCCGTCCGTCCGTCGCGTGACCGTGAGGGGGCAAGAAGTCGCGCAAGCCGGGGAGCTTCCTGCTCGGAGAAACCACACAAATCAGGGTCCGCGTGCTGCGACATCATCGTTTATCCAAGGCAGTCTTGGAGGTTTTGTCCGGGGAGACAAGAGTCAGTGGTCTAGGACAAATCCCGGTGAATTGGTATCCAGTGATTGACAGGCAAAGCGGTGTGTGGCGAAGACGAGGTTTGAAAGCGAAGATCACCTTTCCGACCGGAAATGCCCAGAGAGGATTTTTGTCCGAATGAGACGGACTAATTCATTAACAAAGGTCTTGTGAAGGTTTTAGTTGACGGCATTATCGCTCTTGCCAATCTGTAATAATCGTTCATAATCACAAAATACTATGGGTCGGAAATATAATTAATCTACGCAGCCGTAATTTCAAATTAAGAAAAGGTAACTTGTTCTTTTTTATGCGTTAATCTTCTGCACTCTTTGTAACAGACACTCTGGCTACTGAAACTTCTTAACAAAAAAATAAAGATCACATATGCATTATAGATAAAGTCACTTTGGACAACCGTGATGTATAGGCCTTTTCTAAGATACACGTATACTTACAACTAAGGATAAATCGTTACATATGTATGTGCAATTTCTGCTTTCAGTATGATGAAGACTAACCGATCCCTGAATAAGGTACAACATTTTGAATTAAGTGCCGAATTTCGGATTGCAAAAAAAGTTCTTTGTTCCAATCGAGCGTCTAGACGATTCATTCGAACAGCGTATTGTCATCGTGAATAGCACCCTATCGTCAAGTATTGTCAAATGTTTTTTTTTTCTTGCTGCTCTTGAGCCCATTATTGTGCCCGCACATCAATTAAACGAATCTCTTTTCAACCAACGGTCTCGGTCTCAGCAAAGCGCGCCTATATATCTCCAGCGATGCGAGGAGAGCCAGGCGCGGTCATTGAACGGGGACCGTACACCGCGAGACCCTCAGTCGAGCACCATGGGGGTTGCTGTTTGGTCTGATCATGGAGGTAGGACCTCCATGGTCTGATAGTGGTATCAACCCCAAAACTGCCAACGTCGTCGGGCCAGAAAGTTTCCCTCGGAAAATGAGTGGAAACGGCAGCCTTGTCATTTCTTTCTGAAAGAAAATCACATCGTATTCACTGATTTTGGCGGACAGTGATTAAAGGTAACTCGATTATTTGCATTGATCCCAAAAGTAACATGCCGAATTACCAAAAAGCTTATTTGGACTAAATATCGTGCCGGTACTAAGCACCCTGTGAGATTATTCCGTCTGGCTTGCTGTCATTTAGAAGATATAAAAAAAATGCATGTGTTTACAACGATCAAGTCAATTGACTGATCGTTGTTAGTAAAAGAGTGCTATTGACGAAATCGTGTTTGGTGATCGAAAGGCTGTGGACGGTTTTTTTCACTGTTTTCTCGTAAAAGTGAAGTACCCAATGAGCTGAAACTACAACAGGTTAGGTTTTGAACATTCTTCTTTGGATTTTGAGTGGTGTTATTATTGGAAACGAACAAAATATGCATGAAGAGAAAATGATCAGAAAGTATAGATACACGTGCCAGGTGAAATGAACCTTCGAAGAAATAAGAGCTGTATGATTAAACTGCTCATAAGTAATTGAGTTATAGCGGACCCTTAAAGCCCGATGACAAAGGTATGCGTTGTGTTAATCTGATTCGCTTTTGTACCTTTCCAATATGAACTCATGACACATCAGGCACAATGACATAATTTCGATAACCATCAATTCTTGTTCCCTTCAAAGTCAAAAGACCTAACTGGCTTGTCTAGTATCATTTTGTTTCCTGGCCCGACACAGCTAACCACATTTTTCCTCGAGGAAACGGACTCAAATGTATAAATTTTGTTCGTTTGTGAGAAATTTCGTTGGTAATAATTTCGTCTTTTGCTTATGTATGCACACCACGTTCGTTAACTTGGTGACAACATGAAAACCTGTGTCTTTTCCGGTAGACCCCGTCACCCCAATTTCCACCATCACCCCACGGCGTCAGCACCGTGGACGCCCCGGTGAAATTTCCAAATGTCACCGGGATCTCAGGGTTCGGTTCAGTGGTCTGACGATAGGGCGACTTTCTTCTATCCATCAAATGGCAAAATGACTACCGCAAAGCCAGCGGAGCGTGGAATATATAGCCAATAAAACCTCGCCGTCTGACATGTATCGCTGCAATTATTTCTATAGCTATACTCCCGATAACATAGATACATCTTTGGTATGGTTTTATGACTTCAAATTTTATCCTTTCCGAACTGCGTGCGACTAATCCAATGAAAGGGTATCGGCTTATGCACTTCATTGAGATATATACAACGGGGCATCAGCGCATGTCTTGCAGCCGCATTTTGATAAACAGCAAATCTCATTCCCAGAGAACATTCGCTGGTAAATTTCTCTCATTTGATTTCCGTGGGTTTTTTTATTGTTTCATCCGAGATGGAAACAATATGGTAATTGGTTGGCTGGACATGCTGAAATTGATTCTTTTGCTCGGCACAAGACATCCCAATTATCTCATTATACCTTAACGCATCATCTTACACTCAAGTGACCATGCAGGAGGCTTGTCTCCTGAATAGAATTTAAAAAAAATCTGGAGACGGGGTTTTCTGTTTTGTTTCTTTTCTCCCTATAAACACCCCCTGTGCGGATGCTACCAATATTGAGCGGCACACTTTTGTCCGAGTCGACCCGCGCCCGTGCGAAGAAATTT